TTTGTAGTTTTCAAGATGAATGTCAAGACGAGACTCTGGCAAGCTGAGGAAGCTGATTTATTCACCACCAGGCAAAATGGCCGAGCCAGGTGGTGACCAAAGATTAATATTCAGCCGCTGCACCAACCGCCCAATCATTTGAGGAAACTATACTTTTAAACAATATAAAAACTAGGAAGCATAAATATATGATGGTGGCCATCTTGGATTTTGACGTGGCATGCCCATTTTTGAAAGGAACCTTTCTTACACCTAGATGTAACCACACACAAAAATGGAAGTCAGTACCTACAGTTGCCTGCAGTCAACCTACTTCACATATGGGGGTCAATATTATAGGCAGAAACATGGGTGTGCTATGGGGTCTCCAGTTTCTCCTATTGTTGCCAACGTGTACATGGAGGAGGTAGAAAAGAGAGCCTTGACGTCCTTTTCAGGGACACCACCAAGTCATTGGTTCAGGTATGTTGACGACACCTGGGTTAAAATTAAATCTCAGGAAGTCCTACATTTTACTGACCACATCAACTCTGTGGATAAATACATCAAGTTCACACGAGAAGATGTAAAAAATGGGCTGTGAGGTCTCAGTTTCTGATAGAGGACATTTTGAAAATGATTTGTACCACAAACCCACCCACACAGACCAGTATTTGCAGTTTGACTCACATCACCCTTTGGAGCACAAGTTAGGAGTCATCAGGACTCTGTACCACAGAGCAGACAGCGTCCCCACTAGTTCAGGAGCCAGGCAGAAGGAGAAATCCCACACAAGACAGGCTCTAGAGCAATGTGGATATCCTAACTGGGCCTTCCTGAAAGAAGAAACCCAAACAGGACTCCAGTCAGCCAACAGGTGAAAAGGAGGAATCCAGACCCAGACCAGTGGTCATTCCATATGTTGAGGGGGTATCAGAGAAACTGAGACGTTTATTTTCTAAACATAACGTCCCAGTGGCTTTTAAACCCCAAAATACATTACGGCAAAGACTGGTTCATCCCAAAGATCCAGTCCCCCGGCACAAACAGAGTAATATTGTGCATGTTGTTCAGTGTCAGGAGGGTGATCAGTCTTACATCGGGGAAACTAAACAGCCACTGGCCAAAAGGATGGACCAGCACAGAAGAGCAACATCATCAGGCCAGGACTCTGCGGTCTACACTCATCTCCAGGCCAGCGGTCACTCTTTCAGGGATGAAGATGTTCACATCCTGGACAGAGAGGAACGATGGTTTGAGAGAGGAGTAAAGGAGGCCATCTTTGTGAAGAGAACCCGTCCATCATTAAACAGGGGCGGAGCCTCCATGTCCATCTGTCTCCCTCTTACAGTTAGTTTGTTGCAGCTCCTCAGACTGAAGAAGTCTTTTGGATAAAAGACGAAACGTTTCAACAAAGATAAATCCGTCCAGAGGACCTGACTCAACCTTGTTAGAAAAAAAGAGCTCTTGTTTTTTTGTCTTAGATTAAAACTTTGGTTCTTTTAATTCCCATTTCACATTTTCAGTGAGGGGAAAAAAAGCAAACAAATTTCTAAAAAGTACATTTTCACATCATCTATGGTCCATTCTGCTTGTTTCATAAAAACATAAAAGTGTTTTCTGAACCCGTGGGTTCTTTTTCTTCATCAAATGAGTGAACTGAATCATTTTTCTTCTCTGGTTTTGTTAGATTGTGGAGATGAAGCAGCTGAGCGATGCCTTCAAGCAGCACATTTATGACACGTTTAAAACATCATAAATGTTTGTGACACCGAGCTGAAAGCTAATGGAGTGAAGCACATTCAGGCCTATAGCTCGGCTGGTTAAGCTCCGCCCCCTATAGCACAAACAGAAGGCTAACTGCCCCCCTCCATCCCCGCCGAGATGTGGGGGCAGAGTTTGCTGAGTCACCAGTGGCTCCAGCTGTGAGGGAACAGCTGCATGGTTCTGGCTGAGCAGGATGTTGACGGCCTACATGAGAACCCTGTCATCATGAAGTGGGCGTGTCGGACGTCAGCAGCAGGAAACAGCCTTCGGGCTGCGCTGCAGAGGGAATCCATTTAGACTTACAGCCTTTGTCATGTTGCCTCTGCTGTGATTCACTACCTGGGAACACGTTCAGCCCCTCTGGCTTCTTACTTTCATTTATTTATGCTGTTTTTTATTTCATTACATCCTGAGATTCAAATGAACCTGTGTAGGTGTTGCATCATTTGAGCAGCGCAGCATGAGCTGAAAAACAAACTAAATCAAAATGTTTTCAGGACGTATTTCCTTCAGCTTGATATTTCCCGGCTCGTGAAAAACAAGTTGTTGTTTTTATTTTTTTATGTGAATCCATGAAGCAGAACGGCTTCAGCTTATTAAAGTGATGGGCTCGTGCTGCGACGTCCTTCATTCACGTCACGTATTCCTCATTAAACATGAGGCTGTTCGTGTTGTCCTCCAACAACTCGAGCGTTTCTTTAGCAGAACCCATCCAGATCTACAACGCTGGACCTCCTCTAGCTCATAGACAGAGTTAGACCGGATATCCAGATTATCACTGGTTGGTGTGTGCACCCATTAACATTAAACCAGTTAAACAACAGCTGCGCTGATATTTTCATCCTTTTGAAACATTTATTTTGTAGAGGTGAGTTTAAGTCCTCCCAGCTGATGCCTCACGACCCTCAGCGGGACCCCAGCCTCAACTTTAGGAACAGCTGAGCAAAAGGTTTGTTTTTAAAACTGGATATTATTTAGCATCAACTCTGACCTTTATCCCAGTCCCACCCCCACAGCATGATGCTGCCACCTCCGTGCTGGCAGGCATCACATTTCTTAGATTTTTTTTCTCGTATTTCCTTGAACTCCTTCGTGGATCAGGACCCAGTTTTTCAGAAAGACCATCTCTTGTAGGTTTTTGACTGTAAGCGGAGTTCAGGTCACCCCGTGTAGCCTTTGGCCTCTCTGGGGTTTATTTTTAATTAATTACAGATGAAGTATTAGATTATATCTGCAGTGTTTGCTGCGGTCCTGTTTGAGGTCTGGCTGGATCCGGCTGTGCTGTTGCCTCCTAGCTCCGTGCAGGTCCAGATCCTGCTCTGCGGCACGTTCACTGTTTTACAGCAGATGTTCTGTTCAGGCCAAGCTCAGAGCAAGTCCTACATCACACAGTTTGTGCAGTTTGTCACCTAAAATCCATTTTTAAATAAGGACAATACGGCAGCTGGCACGGTGGCTCAGTTTGCAGGGCTGCTGCCTCTCAGCGAGAAGGTTGCCAGATCAAATCCCAGCTAGGGGACATTTCTGGGTGGAGTTTGCATGTTCTCTCCGTGCTGCGTGGGTTTTCTCCGGGTACTACAGTTTCCTCCCACAGACCAAAAACATGCATGTTAGACTGATTGGTAACTCCAAATTGTCCCTAGGTGAGAGAGTGAATGGTTGTTTGTCTCGTTTGTCTCTATGTGTCCCTGTGATGGACTGGAGACCTGTCCAGGATGTCTCTGTGATGGACTGGAGACCTGTCCAGGATGTCTCTGTGATGGACTGGAGACCTGTCCAGCATGTCTCTGTGATGGACTGGAGACCCGTCCAGGGTGTCCCTGTGATGATTGGAGACCTGTCCAGGATGTCCCTGTGATGGACTGGAGACCGTTTTTTCACCCTCATTGGCTGTTTTTCGCCTTCATCGGCTGTTTTTCAACCTCATCGGCTGTTTTTCAACCTTCATCGGCTGTTTTTCAACCTCATCGGCTGTTTTTCACCTTCATCAGCTGTTTTTCACCCTCATCAGCTATTCATCACCCTCATCGACTGGTCTTCACCCTCATCAGCTGTTCATCACCCTCATCGGCTATTCATCACCCTCATCGACTGGTCTTCACCCTCATCAGCTGTTCATCACCCTCATCGGCTATTCATCACCCTCATCAACTGGTCTTCACCCTCATCAGCTGTTCATCACCCTCATCGGCTGTTTTTCACCCTCATCAGATGTTTTTCACCCTCATCGGCTGTTCATCACCCTCATCGGCTATTCATCACCCTCATCGGCTATTCATCACCCTCATCGACTGGTCTTCACCCTCATCAGCTGTTCTTCACCCTCATCAGCTGTTCATCACCCTCATCAGCTGGTCTTCACCCTCATCAGCTGTTCATCACCCTCATCGGCTGTTTTTCACCCTCATCAGATGTTTTTCACCCTCATCAGATGTTCATCACCCTCATCGACTGGTCTTCACCCTCATCAGCTGTTCATCACCCTCATCGGCTATTCATCACCCTCATCAACTGGTCTTCACCCTCATCAGCTGTTCATCACCCTCATCGGCTGTTTTTCACCCTCATCAGATGTTTTTCACCCTCATCGGCTGTTTTTCACCCTCATCGGTTGTTCATCACCCTCATCGGCTGATTTTCACCCTCATCAGCTGTTTTTCACCCTCATCAGCTATTCATCACCCTCATCGACTGGTCTTCACCCTCATCAGCTGTTCATCACCCTCATCGGCTATTCATCACCCTCATCAGCTGTTCATCACCCTCATCGACTGGTCTTCACCCTCATCAGCTGTTTTTCACCCTCATCGCTATTCATCACCCTCATCAGCTGTTCATCACCCTCATCGGCTGTTTTTCACCCTCATCAGATGTTTTTCACCCTCATCGGCTGTTTTTCACCATAATCGGCTGTTTTTCACCCTCATCGGCTGTTCATCACTCTCATCGGCTGTTTTTCACCCTCATCAGCTGTTTTTCACCCTCATCGGCTGTTGAGGGTGAAAAACAGCTGATATAGTCTGTTGATCCAGACTTTTGTTCGGCATCACTTTATATTTCCTGCTCTTAGCGGTGAAGATCTTGGAAGTGCACGAGTTCGTAGAAACGTGTCCTGATTGTGAACTTTTCTAAACACAAACAACTTGTTTACGTTAAGCTGGATGTTTTTCACTCCTCGGTGTTTTTTCATATATAAATCTAAACATGACATGAACTGTCTGACCTCTCCAACGTTGTCCTCGTTCCTCCTTCAGGTGGATTTCGGAGGACTGGGAGCATTGTACCAAGACCTGCGGCAGTCTGGGTTTTCAGGTCCGGACGGTTCGGTGCGTTCAGTTCTTCCATGACGGCACCAATCGCTCCATCCACAGTAAATACTGCAGCGGAGAGAAGCCCGAGACCCGGAGGCCCTGCAGCAGAACTCCGTGTCCGGCCTCGTGGAGGACCGGGGCCTGGTCAGAGGTAACCAGAACACGTTCCAAACGGGCCGGGCCCGGACTCGGATCAGTGACCGGTGATAATGGATTTAATCTCACTGATTAGTGTGAAATGGAAACAGAGATACTAAACAGAATTTAATTTAAACAAAGAAAACATGAAGCGTTTCCACCAAGTTTTGTTGAATAACTCAAGACCCGGTGGAATCGGTTGTTCTGGTTCACTTCAGGTCCGATTAGTCGTTTGAGGACCTGATGGAGACCAGATCAGCTGGACTCTGCTCTCACACTGAAGGAGGGCGGACGTTCTTTTTGATTTAACCGGTTCAATTTAAATTCTTCCACGTTTTATCTGAAAACCCATCTGTTCATCGGTTCCACCAACACGAAGCTTTAAACCCAGAACAGAACCCAGTTCATCAGAAAACGAGATCAAACGTAACGAGGGTCTGAGGTTTTCACGGTCAGTCCCGGTTCTCTGTCCCGTCTCTGAACAGCAGTAAGGTGAGGACTTCCTGTCCAACGTCCTTCATTTATGTCCTGCAGACATAATGAGGATGATTTGTTTCATTTCAGGGGAGTGTCTTAACTTTATTATTTAAAATAAAACTAGAGAAACTGCATTTCCTGTGACAATGCAGTGTGAATACTTATTGCAGAAGAACTTGCTGAAAAACTGCTGAAATTAGCTAAAAACATGCTGAAATTAGCTAAAACATGCTGAAATTAGCTAAAAACATGCTGAAATTAGCTAAAAATGACTGAAAAGTAGTTGAAAAGACAGCTTAAACTACCAGAAGGAAGTGGAATGAGCTGAAATGAGCTAAGAAAATGTGGAATTAGCTTAAAAAGCTAAACTTAGCATAAAACCAGCTAAATAGTAGCTGAAATAGCAGAAGAAGCTGAAACTAGCAGAAATAAAGGCTGAAAGGAGCATAACAAGCTGAAATTAGCAGAAATGTGTTAATTAGACTGACAGTAGCAGAAATTACCACAAAAAACTTGAATTTATCTGCAAACAGCTGAAATTATGTAAAAATGCTTCAAATACTAGCTGAAAGGGTAGAACACGCTTAAATTAGCAGAAGAAGAATTAGTCCAGCTACAGGCAGGAAGTGGAACACCTGGAGACAATGTGAAGAAGACGAAGGAGATGGTTGTGGATAACAGAAAGCCTGATGAAGAAAGCTCATCATTCCACCAGCAGTCACGTGCCCAAGTGTCCCTGAGCAAGACACTGAACCCCTCACTGCCTCCGATGTGTGTCCCATCAGTGATGAATGTGATAAAGCTCTGATTAGTCTCTTTAGAAAGATTTGTTCAATTATCTTTGTAGAGATCTAGTATAGAGCTGTATGAATGGGTGCATGAGGACACAGATTGTTGTAGAGCGCTTTGAGTATCTCGGCGCTATATAAGTACAGTCCATTTCAAATTGTAGAACAAGCAGAAACTTGCACAAATGAGCTGAAAGGAGCGTAACAAGCTGAAATTAGCAGAAATAAGTTAGAAGCACAAAAATGTTGTAGTTAGCAGAAACAATGTGAAAGGAGCAAAAAAACAGCTGAAAAACAGCTGAAATTAGCTGAATTTTTTTCAATTTGCACAAGGAAGCTGAAAAAATGCTAAAATGTGAAAGGAGCAGTAAAAGGTTGTAAACAGATCTAAAGATTTGAAGGATGTAAAATGAGCTCAGGCTAAACCTTTCAAAAAGCTAAAGTTGCACCAGAACCAAAAATGAGCCGAACGTTTTGATTCATGATTCGCTGAAATAGATGAAAACTGCGGGACGAGCATCGTGCCAGAAAACGTACGGAAGAAAAATGGATGACGGTAGCGTGAAGGCTTCACAAACATTCACACAATAAGAGAACCAAACCATAATTCCAGTAAAACATTTGCTCAACCTCAGAATGGATCTGTTTAATAAGTGGCAGAAGATTTCTATTATTTAAAGGTGTCCAATGAACGAACGGCTCGTGTTTAAAAAGCTTCTTTAAAGCTGACAGTGGAGATCAGGAAGGAACGTTAACAGCAACAGTTGTGATCACATCGGCTGTTATTCTAGAATAAATTAGAGCAGAATAATCTTTTATCGGGGGTTCGTTTCATATGATCTGAGTTTGTTTGATCATTTGGTTTGCTTTGTTCAGCTGCTGATAAAGAATATTTCATATTTATATCTCTGGTTCATTATGGATCGTTCAACAATGATGTTGGTTTAGAATCAGATCAGTCAGACTCCTGGATCTGAATTATCTGTAATTATTCTGAATCTTTCAACACGTTATAATGAGCAGAAAAGTTGAACTTTTCATGCTCCAGATGATAATTTCTGAACTATTTTATGATGTTCGTTCACTCAGTTCAAACGCTGGTGACTTTTATTTAATAATATATACATTATTGTTTCCAGCAGTGAACTGATGGATTGAGATTGTTACAGATTTCAGTGTGCAGGCTGATAAACAAAGTACGCATTTAGTTTTCGATGCTGACGAAGGTAAACTGTGCACGATTCATTTCAGCTGCTGCAGTGTGTGCTCCTTCACAGTGCTCCGTGACGTGTGCAGAGGGCACAGAGAGGAGGCTGGTCACCTGCCGGATCGGAGACCAGTGCAACGGAGAAAAACCCGAGTCCGTGAGGCCCTGCAGACCTGGACCCTGCCACGGTAAGCACGCTCTGCGGAGACAAACCCACTGCACGCAGTGCTACAACACCTGCAGGGAAAATTAGAGTTTATTTAGAAAGCACCACTCACACGCTCAGAACATTTCTACTGGGTCAGAATTTATTTATATATATATATATATATTTACTTCTTCTTTCAGCTGCTCCCTTCTTCAGGGGTCACCACAGTGAACTAACTCACTCAGAGACGTTTCTGACAATTGTTTTGATTTTTTAACTCCGGTTGTCCTTCCTGACACAACCACAGACACCGAGCTACCACAGCCTCTGTGTGGAGCAGAGAGCTGCCATGTAGGGCGCCCAGGGGAGCAGATGGTGGGGGTTAAGAGCCTTGCTCTAGGGCCCAGAGTGGGGCAAATGAGGGTGGAGGAAGGTGTGGGTTCTTCACCTTTCCCACCCACATTTTGATGTTGTCAGTCCAGGGAATTGAATCGGCAACTTTCCCATCACAGGCCCACCTTCTATAACTTCTGCACCACCACTCCTCCCTATTTATACAGTACCAGTGTATATGTTTACATACATATATATATATATATATATATATATATATATATATATATATATATA